ACCAACAAGCAGCACCACACAACCGCACAAAATACCAGCAACCAACTTGCGCAATGCAATTTTCACCATGTTTGTTCTTGCATGATTTCTGTCCTGTTTTCCAACATGCTGAAAGAGACACGTGCAGTATATTATGTTGGCCAAAGTTTTCCCGAGGTTGGTTGGTACGGTAAAACTTGTTTGTTTTCTTTGTGAATTCTGGTGGTGAAAAGTGCAGTTAGAATATGGATGTGTTTGGATTGTTTTTTCCCTCACTCACTTCGCAACCAACACCAGCAGCACCACACAACCGCACAAAGTACCAGCAAACAACTTGCGCAATGCAATTTTCACCATGTGTGTTCTTGCATGGGTTCTGTTCTGTTTTCCATTATGCTGAAAGAGACACATGCAGTAGATTATGTCTTGAAGTATGGTACAGCACAGTACCTGAAAGTAAATGTTGCCTCCAGCAATTGAATCAACCAAATGTGATTATATCGCATTCTTGCAACACCTGTGGTCATTTCCTGCAGTTAGAATACAGGTAAACGTATCATTCGGTCTTGCTTCATTGAAGTCCGGAGCATGATCTTTGCGGCGCGACGAACATGATATTGGTTCTTCTGACATCATTGACCATATTCTAAGTGCATGTGCCCATATTCTAAGACCAAGGTTTTCGGCTTAGGTCCAAATACCCTATACCCCGAAGAACGGCTTAGGTCAGCTAAGCAAATCTTAAGGTTTTATATTCTAACTGTTGGTCCGTCATTGTAATCACCTAATAATAACATATTGCATATGTATTTACATGTGCACGCATAATAAAGTAATCCATGATGGAAATCCAGGTTTATAAAGGCTCAAACCCATTCAAGGTAGCAATGGGCCCACGACATGGTTGGTATTTCGTGCAATTCATCATCATGGGATGACAAAGGTAGATATGTCAGAGGGTCACCCGGATTTTTTTCACAACCACTCTGAAGCATTCTGGCATTCTGGTACATGATGCTGGATAGATGCAGATAGTCACATGGCAAACAGCTGATTTCTGAAGGGAGGTGTGCGCAATCCACCATGACAGTAGGCTTAGCACCGGCAAATGCCTGGGTGGTTGGTCAAATGGTGAATGGCAACGCGTAGATACAGACACAATGCGACAATGGATTGGCTTTGCGGGTGCCAAACATCACATGAGCAGACCCAGCAGTTCCCACAGGTTTTGAACCACTTACATATATTTACATATTGTTTATATGTTAAAAAGATTCAAAAATCATCAAACATCATAAAGAACCCACAATTCAAGAAGCAGCTAAACACTTCAAAATTGTTTCCTTTTGCACTCTTCAGTAGCCCAAAAGATCTCAACCCTGGGCCCTGCGGTATCCTGCGGTTGTTAAGGCTCCATCCAGCGGCCATGCTGGGAGGAAAAGCCAGCCAAGCTGCACCAAACATGAAGGTTGCAGTCAGACAGCCCAAGAAGAAGGACTCAGCTGATGTGATATGAAAATGATGGTACTATGGTTGGTTAATTTATGGTTAATCCCATCCCCCTAATATTAAACATGGTAATGGTACTATTATTACCCATAGATTAACCATAGATGGGGATTCTACCAGCTGTAATGGCATGGTTTTCACCGGTACCTCTTAGAGTTTCCGGTCCATCGCAACCGCGGTGCAGGACGTCCAAGCCATTTGGCAACCCGATGAGTTCAAGGCCGCTAGTGGTGTGGTGGTCAAGAGCGATGGAGACGATCGGGCCATTCCGCCACTGGGGCTCAATCCTGGGAGGGCCGGGTGTGTCACCAGCGACATGAGGCCATGATGGATTATTTGTTGCACCAAAAATGTTTCGATGTGTTTTCAACCCACCTATATGTGGGATACACTATACACATGGATACACCTCAGTGATAAATTGGATATGAATCGCTTAGTGGATGTGTCGATGGGTTTGGGTTGCCAACAGGTACCTGGCTACCCTTCTCTCAATGGATGCACCAAAATCAAGTTACATATGCAAAACTGACATAAATCGTGCAGAATCCCCGGCAAAATGTTGGAAGGAAAAGCATGGTTTGGGGATGTTTCTCTTGCAGGGATCTAAAAACGCGTTGGGGTAAAAAAAAACGTAAACATGCGTGTTTGCTAAACAGCACTGTGCTCCTCTCCTAGGTGTACCCAGCAATGAGTACTGTACAATATGCTAGCCAGAATATATTGTAGGGAATGCATTGCTCGTTGTTGATCTGTGAAGACTCACTATCTTGGGTCCTGGATAAGTCATTAACACCTTCCCCCCAATATTGAATACTCCCTTAGAAACCAGGCTTTAGTAATTATTGGATCTGTTTATTTTTGGAAGCAACGGTTAAAGTCACCCCCAACAAGATACACGCATAATTATTCACTGTTCTAGTAGGGTACCACTCCTATCTTTTTGGGCGTTGCTAGTTGCCAGAGGGGAAAGGGAATATCTTTATGCATCTGGGCAACTGAAGTGGCGACTCCTCTCGAGGAAATATGAAATTCTGCCGCGCCAAAAGCTGGCAGCGTCGGACGCATATCTAAATTTGCCTCTCGTCCGGGGATTTTCAGCTTGGCTCATGGAGCTGTATGGGTTGGTCTAAAAATAGGCTAGATCCATCTAGATCCCCAAATGACAGTTTAATATAGCGATAATGATGATTAACCGATGGACTTCGCGGTAATTATCCCCATTTTTCAGACAATCGATTCGTTTGCCTGCTTATGTTTGGAGGTCCTCCGAACCGTGTTTTGTTGGGAGTTTCCCAATTTATGGCAATCCCCAGATAGAAAAGTGATTTATCACTATTTAAATAAAAGTTTAGTAGGATTTTAGTGTTCTATCCTTTTTTGGGATTGCTATATTTGAATGTGTTTGGTTTTCAGGACGCCTATGAATCTGGTCGATTTCTGCAAAGTCCCCCTGATCCTGCAGGGTTTTGTAAGGCAAGAGATGGATCCTTCCAGTGACCGATGTCAAGAGTTGCTGATCAAGATTTGGTTGCCAGGCAGGGTTCGAACTCAGCCAGCGTAAATTGCCATGTGAATCATGTGTCTGGGTACCCTAGCGGGTAAACATGTGGAAAACCACCATTGCTAGCTCCGAACCGGACACCATACGTTTTCCACCTCTATGCAGATTGAAGCCCGGAAATAATTATCGCAGTGATGTATGCACATGAGGTTACACAAGCATAGACGTTGTTTTCATGTTGTGAGTTGGCCCTGCAACACCAGGGGAGCAGCTGAGAGATATTTCTCTGGATGTCTTGGAAGATCGGTTGTTGCTACAAGCCACCAAGCACCAACTAAATGTTGCCCTGCCACATCGGGCCCCTTGGCGGGGCGGTTGGGAGGCGGTTGGGAGTGAGGAAGTCAGGGAATGCTAGATACGGAGATATTGATGCATATGTGTATATATATATATATAAGTATGTGCATACATATTTATTCATAATACACATATATATATGTGATTTATATACATGTGGGATAGAATTATAACGAATTATATATATATACATACATACAATATATATCTATATGTAAAAAAAACATAAAGATGGATGAATAGAATTGGATAGATACACATTTAACTCTGGTACCTTAACATTGCTCCACAGATATTCTGTGTTTGTCATGGTATCAGCATGGCTTAGGTCAGGAAGGATTCAGGCAATGCCAAGTGGGACAAGTTGCAAGGCGTTCTCTCAGTGGTCGTTCCCCTGGATCAGAAGGCTACGCAGGGAGTATGTGAGCAACCGAGATCATGGATTCTTAGTTAAGGAGCATTTAACACCTGGTTTTATGAAGTCGGGAGTTCATGTTTTTTTTGGTGGGGAGGGAGATGTTTTCTGAACCGCCCGCTCTTATTCTCAACAGATATCAAGAAAAGTGTTACGCATCCGGGTCGACATTGGAACATGTGCGATGACATTACAATGACTATAACATACAAAAAACCTGCATTTGTCTCAAAAATTGCTACATCGGCCATGATATGGGTATAGGAGATATCAGTTTATGTGCAGTGTCATTGTCATTGAGTTCCCAAATGTGCCATTGGTTCACCGATGAACTCTATGTCGAGCAACTGAGATGATGTAAGGGGCCATTTTTGTACCATAACCCATAGGATCCATGGTATATATGCTAACATGACTGGGGTATATTGATGGGATCCATGTTACCATATATATAGCATACATGGATCCTATGGGCATAATCATTGTTCATGAGTGGGAATAACCACCCACGGACTCTAGTGAGTTAACGGCAGGTGAAATACTTCTCAAAGCCCGATGAGCTTTTCACGGACTGAGCTGTGTGGCCTGTCCCAGAACAGCCCATTCGGCAATGCTTTCAAAGTTCTGGCCAAAGCTTTGTACGGTGCGGACTTCCTTCATATAGGACAAAGTGGATCACAATTGGCTGTCTCCGAACAGAAACCTGTTGCACATCCTCTGAAAACATCAAGTTTGTACGCGAAGCAGCTGGGAAAAACAAGATTTGAAGTGCCCCGATGCAAGCCACATGCTAAAAAAAATCTAACTAAGGTAAAAACAGAGCTTTGGGGCGGAGGCTTCAGTAGCTAGGTCACTCCAATGGCCCCAGTTCTCCAAAACATGGGAGAAACATTGGGAAGGAGTTTAGAGGTGCTTCAACAGCTCTAGCAAATGTCTCAGGGTTTCACCTCGAATTCGATAAAGTGCAGTGGCAGCCCAATTGTTGCCGACCAAAAACGCCGAGACACCTGCAATGAAAAAACTGCTGGGGAGAGAAGGGGTGCTGGAATGAGACGCTCGGAAGAGCCTGGAATGGCAGAGCCGATGTATAAGCAGCATAATCTATCAACATATATCAACATAACCATATATTGATAGTGTTGGATGCCCAACGATAAAACGTTCCCACGATGCCAACTTTCTCTCCAAATGTTTGCACTGTAACTGATCCTGAAGGCCCGCTGGCCAAGGTTAACCATGTTCAAGGACGAGGATCGCACACTGCGGCAGGCCGATAGCCCAGAGGGCATTGCCTGGCCTGCAGAAAGATGACATCCCAAAATGAATATGTTCGCCTTTATATTTGGATAGTGGGTAGGGAACCTGGAACCACTGGAACCCACGATTTTATTGGTTGTTTTTCCTTACCATCCAGTGAATATCACATGTATGGCGAAGCAACATTCTGCCGTTTTCCTGCAGATCCAGGATTATTGAGCTTCAAACTTCAAACCCCCACTTGTTTGGCATTGATTTGCAGGGGTTGATCAATGTCCTGTGTTGGGGATGTTGAGCATCACTTTCAAGTGTTCCATGGAGAATTTATCCACATGTTTTCGAGTAGGACGTTGACCAACCCCTGGAACCTCCTCATTATATCCCATACATCCTATTAAATCCCGACTTATGATAGTAATTATTAACCTTAATCCCGTGAACCATTTTACTCAATGATATTTATATTTAAATATTAGTATATTCCCCACTAAAATCCACTAAACCTTCTGAATCCCCCTGGGTTAAATTGGGTAAATACCCCATCCAAAGGGACGTTGTCAGGTGGGCCTCGGAGATCTGGAGACCGTCTTCGTAGGCACCAACGGAACCTCCAATCTGACCTGAGAAAGGGGGGAACTATATGTATTGTTTATAGATAATTGTAGAAATTTAATGCAACTTTTTTTCAAATGTTGATGGTATTTATATGGATTTATCGTTGATTTTAGTTGATTTATTCAGATCTAGATTCACGCATGTTCTTACTAAAATATCGTTGTCGTTCAATTATCAGATGTCCGCGCTATCCTTTAACTGTCTACCTGCGATCTCATGCAGAGGATGAATTCAGCCTTGATGGGGACATCAATGCAAGATCAAACATGACGTATGCATAAATTGGTCTTACTAGAAAGCTTGGTTTGTGAAAGTATTTGTTCGTGTTGGCATGAGCTTGCTCCCAACAGTGCGCAACAGATGGATTTGTGAACGTTGGAATGGGGAAGAGTGATGATCAACCATCAGATTTGGGCTGTTGTACGGGGGAAGATCGATTGCCTATAGTGAAAAGCTCAGCCCACAGGACATGGAGCCCCCTGCGATCCCAACGAGAAAATCCTCAAGGTGGGCGGATGGGTGAAGTCTAGGCAAAATGGGGAAAATAGTATATAGTTGAAGGGGCCAAAGACTCGTCGAAGAAAGGGTAAATTTCTATGAATTTGTTGCGTTTGAGGTGTTCAGTGGATGGATTGTAGCCATATAACTTGGATATCGAGCTCACAAAGAGTCACTGGAAGTCAGATATCTTCCATAGGTGTGTGGCCAGCCAGAAGGCCCAAAAAAAGCACCGATACTCTCGCGCAGTCCTTATCATAGAATATCAGATATATACTAGTAGATAGATAAAGAATGATAAAGAATGATAAAGACACTTAAAACACGACTGAACAATCTGAGTGTGTTTTTTATTTGTCTCCAAGGTATCCAAGGTAGAAACCAAGACATGGACATTAAAAGTCTCACACCTCCTGGTCCCTGGGGTTGACGCTGGAAGGTGCTGCGCTACAGCTATGACAATGGCAACCACAAGGTGCGGCGACGCGCGGGCATGGGTCGGTCCTGAACCACCAACCAACAATGTGAGACATATTCATGGGTAGGTAGATTAGATTAGGCTTAGGCTAGAGTAGTTTTGTATAGATGGATGGATGGATGGATGGATAGATAGATAGATAGTTTGTCACCGTGTACTTAGATCATCGTGGTTTCAACGAAAGTGGAACAATGTTCTTGAGCGGCCTGGCGCCATTTGTGCAGCGCTGCAGGTGTCAGATGGTTTTAACTTTCCTGCTCCAGGGGAAATGTCAGTGAGGACAGGGCAGTGAAGTGTGGTCAGAATTCTGAAGAATGTGGTAACTGTAAGAATGAAACACCAATTTGGGGATGGCTTGGTTTCAATTTCTGGTATGTTCTGGTAAAATTGGTGGTTATTTATTGTTGGGTTTAGCTCATTTCTCCCCAGAAAGAAAAAGTCATACAAACCCTTTGTTACCCTCTTCATTTGATAGGATCTTTGCAAAATGCAGTGCAATATCTAGAACTAACGAAACATATAGAAATCTAAAACCCACTAAATTCCACCATAGAAATCTAAAGCCCACTAAATTCCACAGAATATGTCTATCATTTTCCTCGTGCCCCTGCTTTGTTCCAGTCTGAAGATCTCAACACCCCAACAAGGGATTTCCATCACTTCCCTGCTGTCCACTCTTCCCAATCTGGACCCTCCTGTTGATTCAACATGATTCAGCAAACTCTTGCATTGTTGATGGACCACCCCCCGAACATCTCTTCCATCAGATGGATACATAGTCTGTAGCCTGTAGCACAATGCTGGGATGGGTTGCGGCTTGCTTTCTCAACCGGATAGTTCGAGAACAGCGGTGCTGTTTTTTTTTTTGGTGGTTGAACTCAGATTCGATAGCTGATTCACAACCAAGAGGTTGTATCAAAATAGTTGGTTTCAACCATTTCCCATTCCCAATGGGAGGATGATCCCAGCTGACGATTTTTCCATCAGCGCGGCTCAAGTGGTGGACCCTAGGAGCTTTAAGGAAGCCTTGATCAAGGCCTGTCTTCACTGGAAGTTCCCCGACGAGGCTGGATGGCCAATTCGGTGCCCCCTAGAAGTTGGTTACCTCGTGAACTAAACCAACTTCACTATATAGTCTTAACTATGGGATACTATGGGGGATGATGGAGAATGGAAAACCAAATTGTAGATATCATATACAACTTGGATCATGGTAGATTTTTCGGGTTGCCTCGGATCATCGACCTTGGAAGGTGACATGGAAGCGATTGAGACTACGAGCAGTGGAACCCAGATGGCTCCGGCATGGCTCCAGCTCTGGGACAGGAACAGCCTATCTTCAAGATCAGTGAAAGGCGTAAATGTACAAAGTATAGGCAGTATATACTACAAAGTATAGGTGTCGGATTTTGTTTTATCCTTTTTACCTCAAGCCCTTATATAGGCATTCGCCATGAAAATCATTCTGGAAGTAGGTGCCAGGTCAGAGCACTATGCAGGCCCTTCCTCTGCAGCTGGCTCAAGCTCTTGGTGGAACACCCGTCCTGTGCAGGTGGGAGATCAGAAAATATAGTTAGACCGGTTCCACTTCTACGATAATTATGGTTGCTTTAGGCAACCGGTTGACTCGGCGGCCTTGTATTGTTGGATGATGTTTTATGGGTAGGGCGCTGATAGACCTACTGATTTGAGATCTCTTCCAAGTGGAGTACTTCGCGGTGAATTTTTCAGGTGTTCGGAGGCTGACCTACTCATGCAACCGCACATTCAACTGCTCCTTCTGAACAGAAGAGGTTCTAGGAGATTCCTGCGATTGGTCATAAGATGTTCATATTATCGACGCCCAGTTGCATGGTGCTTTGGATACCCTTGACTTCTCCCAAATTGCGAACATCATGAGGTTTGTTTCACTGCAAGACTTGGCTCATGGAATCTGGAAGCGATTGAAATGACCGCCCTACTCTATACGTTTGCATGTATATGTATAATATATAATATATATATATATATTCATTCATTTATTTTCAAGGTCAAAACCTGCTTTGCCTCGAAAACTCATGCACTTACCCACTGGTTATTCAACATAGCTATGGAAAATCACCATGTTTAATGGGAAAACTCACTATAAATGGCCATTTTCAATAGCTATGTTAGTTTACCAGAGGGTAAATTACCTGGAGGGCAATTTCCTTGCGCCTTCCTTGCCGTTCCCGTGGCTTCCAGGTCATGACAGAAGTCATGCCAGAGAGCCCTGTGGATCCTGTGGCCCCGCCACCACCAATCGAGGCCTACAGAGTTACATATGTTACCTGTTACAAAATGGTGATTTTCCATGGCCATGTTAGATTACCAGAGGGTAAGAGACATTATGATATGAATTCCTGGTGACTTTTGGGATGTTGAGGTTTCAGTGTGGAATGGAGTCATCCACAGGTCACAAGTGTTGGCCCTCAAGAATCTATGGTGCACAGTTATCTATCGAAGATGGCCTGCTAAATCCTGCTAAAACTTAAGGTTTCCTCGATCCCAAGTTTGAAACCATAGTCAGTGCTTTCAGTCCAAATAGCGAAAGGAAGGTCAACCCATATCTTGTCAAAGTTGTTAGTGAAAAGCCGGAATCGTCTACCATTTTTCTGGACACCCAAGTGGCTAGGGATCAATATTAGAGTACCCATTGAAGTCGTTGGCCTTCAGCATGCACATGTTTGCTTACAATGTACTAATCATCATTTGCACATATATGATCATACATGTGTATAATATATGTATATATATATATATATGTATGGATATATATATATGGCGATGGAGAGAGAGATACGAATAAAGACGCATACACGGATAGATCAAGTACATGTGTGTGTACTTGTGTACTCAACGAAAGAAATACCAACAGCTACCCCAGGCCGGGTCTTCAAAGCGGTCCTGCGTTCCAGGTCGAGCGTGTCGAACGTGTCGGAGGTGCTGCGGATCCCGAGATGGTGCGATGGCATGGCATGGTGGGTGCGGACGCCCGATGTGGGAGGCATAGCGTATATCGCGAATCGCCGGGCAGAAAAATTGTGGCTAATGTCTGCGCCTGATTAGTGTGAGGGCCCCCCCCAAACAATTTGATGATACTCTATAACTCGCACTTTTTTTTTTGCCCCCCCCAACAATTTTTGGGTTAATCAACTTAAGTAAGGATTTCCATTTACTTTCAATTTACTTTCAATTGATTTCAGTTTACTTTCAATTGATTTCAATTTACTTTCAATTGATTTCAAATTACTTTAATTAATTTCAATTTACGTTCAATTTTTTTCACTCCCAAAAGTTGGTGCTCACAATAGAGTACCACCCAAACAATTATATTATTCAGTAACTGTGCCAATCATGAGGTATCCCCTTGGAAAATTGTCTGGGTGCTGTTTTTCAATAAGGGTTTAATAAGGCATCTAATTATTTGGAAAAGCTTGCATTTTAAAGCTTTAACACAAATATGGCTTTCTAAAGTAAAGGGACCAGCTTTACCCAAAGAAAGGTGGAGAAAGGGTTTTGTGTTTTTTTTCACTCCCAAAAGTTGGTGCTCACAATAGAGTACCATCCAAACAATTATATTATTCAGTAACTGTGCCAATCATGAGGTATCCCCTTGAAAAATTGTCTGGGTGCTGTTTTTCAATAAGGGTTTAATAAGGCATCTAATTATTTGGAAAAGCTTGCATTTTAAAGCTTTAACACAAATATGGCTTTCTAAAGTAAAGGGACCAGCTTTACCCAAAGAAAGGTGGAGAAAGGGTTTTGTTTTTTTTCACTCCCAAAAGTTTGTGCTCACAATAGAGTACCATCCAGACAATTATATTATTCAGTAACTATGCCACTCATGAGGTACCCCCTTGAAAAATTGTCTGGATGCTGTTTTTAATAAGGGTTTAATAAGGCACCTAATTATTTGGGAAACCTTGCATTTTAAAGCGTTAACACAAATATAGCTTTCTAAAGTAAAAGGACCAGATTTACCCAAAGAAAGGTGGAGAAAGGGTTTTGTTTTTTTTCACTCCAAAAAGTTGGTGCTCACAATAGAGTACCATTCAGGCAATATATTATTGAGTAACTGAGCCACTCTTAGTGTAATTAATTCATGAAGAAGGAAGCAATTAAAAAAATATAAAAAAGGAAGCAATGAAAAAAATGACACAATACTAAATAAAAATAAAATAAAAATAGTATTAAATCAAAATAAAATTTAAATAGATAAAATAACAACAGTAATAAATAGAAAAATCAGCAATAAAGCATTTTGAAAAATAAAAATAAATTATGGAAAAATCTCACAATAGATGCACCCCCCAACAAACAGCATGTGACTGAATTAGGAGCAAAAAAAATCTCACAATAGGTTACCAAGACACTAATCGGGTGCAAACATTATGGAAAATCACCCTTTTTAAGGTTTCTCAGAGGCTACAAGTTAAAAATTGAAGGTGAACAGCAGAAGGTTTTTGGACCGTAGAAAGGTCCCAAGGCGAAACATTCAAGTTTAGTAAACGACCTGTAAAAGGGTGGTAATGATGATTGGCAGAGAAAAAAAGGTACCCAGCTACACTCAACCAATGAGGTTTGGCCAACATGCAATATACGATGGTCAGCAAGTTCCCAACTACCGGAGAAATGCCGAGAAAAGGAACTCATGGAAGCCAGATACATTGGAACGATTATTTCTAAATGGCTACAGTAAATACTCTGGCTCCATGTCGGATTAGCGGAAGATGAACTGTGATGAACAGCGGACGAATTCTATACGGATTTGATATTATCCCCCGCCCAAAAGAAAAATACCTGTTCTTTTTCGGGCTAGCCATGTCACTTGCGAATTCGGCTGCCTCGAAACATCTCAAAACCTACAAGGTGTTTGTAATTGTTTGTATGCTTGTTACAAGTTATACCCATAAACCACAGTAGTTCTTTAGCAAGTTGATCAAGTTGGTTATCATATCATATCCATAAGTTGGTTATTGTAAACCACAAACCTCGCTGAATAGAGCAACTTGTTGCAATTCCGATCTGGGGCAGGGGCAGCACCAGGTGCCAGCGCTGGATGGGCACCACCCCGAGTCGTTGCCAGCCGCTTGCGCCTGGTGGTAAACTGATCGGGGGAACTGGGTAGAGTCAAAGGCAAGCTTGGCTGGGTTCATCTAAGGGAAAACTTACCAGGCACGCACAGGGTTTTACAGTGTTCAACATGTTTGAATCATGTTTGGAACATGTTTTTACAATCCATAATGTGTTTGTACTGGCATTTGGTGTGAAACAAATTCTGGTAAACAACCGTATATATATATATATATAGATCTATATAAATGTCAGTAGAAATTTGTTTTTAGCATATCTCATATGTCAGTAAGATTAGTTTCCACTAAAAATGTTTTTTCCTAGGGTCCATGTCAATTCACCAGAGCGTAACTGTTCAACCATTTGCAATCATCCATCAGCATGGTTCCGCCAACATTTGCTCGGAGCTGCATAGCTTGTCTATCATGGGCAATGGTCAGCAGCGTAGATGAGACAACGTGCCAAATTTGGACAGTAAAATATGTTTCGACACGAAAGTGGCTGGCTATCTATATATATATATATATATTATCAGACTTTGATGAATTTTCATGGAAACTTGGGGGGGTCTATGGGGGGGGGGTCTGTGGATAAGCCTGGATAAGCTATGGATAAGCCAATGATGACTCTGTTCAGTTCTGCAAGAAATGTTTGGAGAGGTTGGTGTGTTGTTATTTATTGCAAAATTGAGAGGTACCAGGATTTGGCTCGAGTGGCATGGGCAAGGCTTGCTAGAAACAAGCAAGCAAGAACAAAAATGCAACTTAATCTCCAGGGATAGACAGTCTATTGGCAAACGCATGGCCCATGTATTCAAGATAGTGAAAAAGAAATCAAAGACTCAAAGCGGGGAGGCGACACCCAAGGCAGGCAATTTGCACGCAAATGGGTCACTTGACCTGGATTGGGGTGAGAGGATAAGGGCTTAATAAGAGCTTAATAAGGGCTTATCCACTGCTTAACCCTAAGTGGTGGATAAGCAGTGGATAAGCAGGGAAACAGCACCTATTTGACCATAGACCCCCCCCCCCCGAAAATGACCTTCAGGGCACCAAATCCACACAAATCCTCAAAAAAACATTATACAAACCAAAAACCATGCGAAACCACTCAAAATCACAGAAAAGCATCAAACGTCACGGAAATGAAACACGAATCACACAAAAAAACGAAAAAAAAAACAGAATCATCAAAAACCAAAAAGAAACATCTGAAGACAATCGCCAAAACCCACCGTTAGATATCATATTGTCTAGAATTCAGCGAAGTCTACAAAAACTTCGCCACGGTAAGATGGCCAGAAACAATCCTCTTCCTTGTTCAGATGTGGGCTTACATCATCCATCATTTTTAGGATAAGCAGTGGATAAGGAAGTTCAGCTATCCATTTGGGATAAGACCTTAATAAGGCTTTAGATGATAACCCCTTAATAAGGCCTTAATAAGCCCTTATCCAGCCTTAATAAAGGTCTAATAAGACCCTAATAGGTGCTTATACTAACCAGCTCTTATCAGGACCTTATATGATAAGCTCGTAGACCCCCCCCCCATAGCCCCCGTTTAGCCCCCATGAAATTTGTATGTGCTTGAGATCACCAGGAGATCAACATTTCAAACACAGCGGACCGGAGATTTTGGATGATTTTGGAGCACTTTGAGGATCAGATATAATCATAATCCAATTGTTTCGGGTACCCAGTTTTGACGCGTTACCCATTAATATTGTCTATATTGGTTGGCCCCCCTATGGGTGACGACCCTCCATTGAGATGCGGACTGCCGACCAGGAACGGAGGCTGACGCGCGGCCTGGCTATGCTGCCTATGATGCCTCGGAATATTTGGATGACCCTGAGGTATTGCAGGCGGCACCATGGGTTCCCGCATGGGAGCTTGGGCCCAGCTTGGGTAGCCCTTCAGGTAGCCCTTCACTCGTTTCTTGTGGCAAGTTGCCTTTATTTTTGATTTTGAGCACTGCAGAACAACGGGCACCTTCTTCACAATCCATTTCAAGCAGGGTGATTCTTCAGGAGAGTGTGCGGGAAGCTATGGTCTTACCACCCAAAGTACATGCAGCAAGAATTTGGAACAATTCGATAATATAAAACGTCATCAACCACAATTGGATGATCAAATTTGTTTTCAATGAACATTGGAATTTTCTCATACTTTCTCTACAAATGATCCAGTTCAAAACGCATCCAAACTATAATCCTCCGTGTGCAGGGCTCCAAAATGGACAGATTCGCTGCCTATTCAGAAAAGATTACATAAGATTGATAAGCAGATAAACCATGTATTACCATGCCATGTATTGCCATGCCATGTATTACCATGCCAGATAAACAATCACCATACAATCACCAAATGATCATGAAACACATATAAATTAAATATGCCAAGCACCAAGCATGTGTTCAAAGAATGACCAGGCAAGAATTCCCTTCCCTACCGATCCAAACACATCGAAGATACGGGGAACCCCCCAGATTACAACCCAAATCCCCAGAGGCTGCGGCTGGATCCATACGGGTTTGTCACTGGTGTCCCCAATATATGGTCCCCTCCCCCTATGTAAATTTAAACACCACCAGTTTATGGTTCCAAATATGTGCTTTTATCCCCTACATCCAGCATGGTTCCCGTGGGGTGTTCGATATTAATGAGACTGGATACTATTGGATCATGCTTTATTGATATATGAGACATATTTGGATGAATTTTGGCTGAGTCTTGGACAGCTTTGGTCAGGTGCTTATTCATGCAATGTGGTGTCCTCCAGTTATAAGTTGGTTTATAAAGCCATTAACTGTAGCTATATCCCGCATAAACCCTAGTTATAGTTATACTACTTATAGATGGCCATAGCTACTGAAATTCAATCTAGGGAATGTGACTTGATACCCTATACTAATATCTAGTTATACGAGTTATAATTATAGTTATAGACCTAATAGACCTGTTATAGCTATAGTTTTAAACCTTGGATGGCCAACAAGATGGTGACAAGATGGTGTTTCTCCTTCGCGGCCTCCAGGCCAAAGTGAAGCTTCTGGCCGAGATGTGGCTCCGCGGCGGCCGCGACACAGTCGTCTATACCGGCGCAGGTGGGGAAGATTTTTTGGAAGGGATGAAACATTGGAAGACTGTATATATAAATGGGAAAGTGCTCTATGAATGAATGTATATATATATATATATATGATGTATTTATCTATCATTATCATTCATTATCGATGTACATATGTATATATATATACATGGCTATTTATATATGTATACATAGACATGCCACATTTTGCTTCCCAAGCCTTGGTTGTGGCGCCAGGGCTGTCCACGGCCAGTGGCATTGGCGACTATGCCTCCAAGGCAGGTGGCTCCATTGCGCCACATAAGCAGCATGGCGGAGTCATAGCGGTGAACACCCCTCGTTTCCTTCCACTTTTACGGACATGTTTTTGGGGGGGAACTGAATTTATGACTTGAAATCTCAATTTACCTACCCTTTATATATATATATATATCTATTTATTTATTTACTGGGAATGAACTTATAGACAATCCACTATTTATGGATGATTTCAGAAATCGTGAAATACTATGACTTTTCCCTTCCATGTTGGTTTGTTAGCTTCCCCCGGGGGAGCCTCCGCCGAGGAAAGGCACCAGTACGGGCAGTCGCTTAGAGCTCCAACCCACTGTAGCGCATCATGCTTTGGCTGCGATCGAAGAGAAGGGTCTCATTGGGATACTCCCTGGCAAAAAGATCACAGGTGAAGCAGACTATTTGGGTAACATTCGGTAACATTGATATAGCAAATGTGATTCTGAAGAAGTGTTGTTGGAAGAATATTTGACTTCAGCAGTGCTTTCAACTAGAGTATTGTTTATTACCGATATAGTCAGTGGTTCCTTATGAGGGCCCATGCGGTGAGGTTTCATTTTAAAGAGTTACATTCACTGCATATGATGATGGGAAGCCCTGTTCGCCTGTATGACCTGGCCGCTGGCTGCAAACAATGGTGTCCAGGCCGCGCATGAAGCAGATTGTCGCATTCCACACCAAACTTTCATGGCTCCTGTGTGATTTGAGTTTTTTTCCTTCCGAAAACCGGGTGCCCCGGAATGTACCCTCTGGTTATTTAACATAGCCATGGAAAATGGCCCATTTATAGATGGTTTACCTAATAATAGCATGGTGATTTTCCATGGCGAACTGTTAAATAACCAGATGGTAATTACTTATTTATCATCATTTGCCCCACTGAAGTGGCACTTCTCATGGACTCCACAAGCGTTGCTCTGCGTTGAGGAATTGGGTGCAGCAAAACCATGACAGGCTGGCACAAAAGGCTGGTTACCTGGCAGGTAATAACTTCACTTCCTGAGAGAGTTGAAAGTGTGGATTCGGGTATTCTGGAAAGATCTTTCCTTTGGTAAACTAACATAAACATAACTTTATACTATGGAAAATCACAATTTTGAATCGGTAAATCAATTATACAATTATAGATGCATTTTCAATAGCTATGTTAAATTACCAGGGGGCAATATGACTTATAGATTTTTAGGGGTTGCTGAGCCACAAATCAGAGTAAGGCAGGTGATTGGTGGCAAAACCCAAGGCAACATGTGCAGCTGAGTCACTTCTGAAACCTAGGAACGTCCTAGTTTGTTCTCAAGCACGCCATGGTTACATTTGGGAAGCACATGGATGGGAGCTCTGATCGCCATACGTATTTCAGCATTGAAGTGTTTGAACTTGAATTTTCTCAAGCCAACAGCGACCGTTGTATCATGAGAAGACTTGCCCTGCTCAGAATGCTCAGAATGCATCTAAGCCCTTCTAAGCCTCTACGAAAACAAGATCAGAAGATTGGAAGATTTGTTACGTTTAGGATTGTTTTGGATGACCTGCCATCGGCTAAGGCTTTCCTCAGGCCAAGCTGAATGAAATCCATGGCGCATGGGGTGATACCAAAAACATGGTAGCTTGGCGGCTTTGGTGGCGCTGGTGTGCGCTGGTTAGTATATTATGATATGATATAATTAATATATAATATATATATATATCATATGATATGATATGATTGGAAAGAAGCACAATGCAGTACCAGAAACAAAATTCTAATTTATAATGCAGTCATTCAATCAAAACTTCTCTATGCCTTGGAAACAATTTAGATTCCAGTGGCTCTCCCTTCACGATTAGAATCTTTTTAGTTGAAAGGTTTGCGAAAGATTCTAGGCATGACTACGACCTACATAAATCGTGCAAACACAAATGGGGAGGTTTTCAGAAGAGCAAACTTACACATTGCAGCGAACCATCATGGAACCAAAATTGAACCAATTCAGGACATTTTGGCCCATCGTCGCATCGCACTTGCAGCGAAAGTTTTGAGACAAGACGATGACAGCCCTATGAAAATGGTCAGTTTCAAAAAAGATACCGCCGCACCTGTTGGGGTACTGTTTCGACGGGTCGGCAGACCCAGGAAACAATGGACGCAAAACACTTTGACTATGATATGGCTTAAAATTCGTGATGACCAAAGTGATTTCAACAACTCCAACGCACAACTTGCTCAAATACTGCAAGCAGCTATCAACAAAGAAATCTAGCAACATTTCCTACCAGGCTGTATCCTGGACATCGTAACTAAGTCGAACTAATCTATAGTTCTACTTCAAGGAGTTCCTGTACTGAGGGGCAACGATGCTGCGGGGAGCCTACGGGTATGGCACCTGCCTTTCTAAGTTAGTTTCACATCCGTTTTTCACAAACCATACCTATGGCACGCAAGAAGAAGAAGAGAGAGAGAGAGAGATATATATATATATATATCATATATGGTTGGCGTTGTTGCCGTGCTACACCTTGGCTTGTTACGTTGATGGATCCTGTTTTCTCTCAATCGTGCGCTTGGTTGCAGACCTACATATTATACTGAAGGGAATTATGTGGAATAAATACTGAGCGATCTGTCCCATGGACTCTGAATCTTATCTCAGTCTGGTGTGCATTTCATAGAGTGAAGAAATACTGTATCAACCCTTTAACACATTCACCCAATTCATATACAACATTTTTTTCCCTGTATAGGCTTTGCATCTTCAGGCTCATGTCTAGTCTATATATATATATAAATAAAGAATCATAAACATACATAGAGATCACCCACCTGTTCTCCCGCCCAACTTTTCAACCGACCTCGTGAGGTAAAGATGATGGACGACACGTTGCGCTCGGATTTGCTGGAATGGCTGGTGACCCGGCATCCATTGCCTTCACTGGCAATATATCTCCCACAGACTCCGTTCACATTGGTCATTCATTCATAGTTTTAGCATGTTTTAGCACATGCTCAATTTGCATCAGTTAGCTGATTATTACCAATTCATCCCCATGAAGTCTAACAGTCCAACATCCCAAGGAATTGCCGTACTCTAGCAGGAACATTTTGGTTGCCACAGCTTTATGGCTAGATTTCAATTGTACCAATCATTGGAATATGTTACCCATGATTTTTCACAGATGTTTTTCACAGATGATATCGAAGATACAGGCATTTTTGTTCGAGAGAGAGGGAGAGAGAGAGAGAGAGAGAGAGAGACCCAAACAGCGATGTTTATGGAGGAAACCGATGGAATCAAATGAACAAATCCACTTGTTTTAGCTGTTTGCCAGTTTCAACACGATGAAGCGAGATATACTGTTTTTGTTTTTGACAAGAATTTGCCCAGTTCAATTCGCCATGCCCCACAGCTAAGCCATTGAGCCCATCAGGTGGCGTGGTCCGCCCGCGCCCGGCTCTGTGTGACCCTGGGCACCTCCCTCTGCGGCATGACCAGCGACGAGATCCCGCGCGCGGCTGCGGAGCGCTTCGCTGTGGCAGAGGGGGATGGCTTGGTGCCTTGATGCGGGGAGGGTTCAAGGTTGGAGTGCATGGTGGTAACCTGGTAATTTAGTTATACCAACCCCCAAAAAGATAGAAACACTGGAAACCAGGATATGGAGCAAACATCAACTAACTACCATCCGGGAAACACTTGTTCTTCATCTTGGGTATTACAACCATTTATAACCCAATAATGACCATTACTGGTGCTTATTATTGGCTGTATTGGATTGTGTTTTTTTGGGGGTAAAGTCAATAGATTTGATTGTATAAACGACTACCAACCTGGGGCGATTTTACATCATCCATTTGTTGGCGGTATACTATACCCAATATTACCCAATAACGAACCCAAGTGGGGATGGTTTATTAGTTAGTGTGCTTACCACATTAGGTTCAACCAAACTCAAGTTCAACATGACCGGTGTTTTTGTGCACAATTGGATGGTATCTCTATTTTTTCATGGGGTCTGAATGGGTAGCCATAGTTATTGTAGGTTTTGAATCGTGTAGTGGGCATTAAAATGTTTCAAATCAAGATAATGTGGGTGTAGCCATGGTCTATAATCAAGTATAGGGTTTGTAAAAGCTCCTGGCAACAACTCATTTTAATCATGGTGATTTCAAAGTTTTTACCTGTTGGAACCGGGATACATTACTTTACGTAATATATCATCAACACTGGATGTTTTTTGGATGCCTGAGGATCAAGAATAGAGACCTGGGATGTTTGACCTGACTTACCATCTTGTGTTTGGGGCTCTTTACCATCGGACACGCAATGTTGAGCACCAAGAATGCAGACGTTGACCTTCAAAAACGATAACATCACGATATATCACGATTATCACACAACAACAGAGATATTTTCCTGGATATATGCCTGCAACACTCAGATCTTCACCAGACATTAGATATGCCCAACTGATCATGGGAGGCTGAGACTTTGTTTGACAGTCCTCATTGGGCTTCAATCTACAGACTGGCGGCCCTCTAGCACTGAGGTGATCATCGGTTTGCAACGAACCTTCTATGATGAGGTGCTTTGCTTTTCCGGGGCACCAACATGTTTGAAGGATCACTGGCAGTTGCTGTGGCTTGACTTTTTCATCCTTTTCCCGTATCTCATTCTAGATGTGCCCAAGTATCCATTAAAAGTCTGCAACTAAATAACAAAATTGAATTCACCGCTGTAGACGGTAGGAGAAAAGGAGCAAGTTGCTGCACCAGCTGGGTTGACACTCCTTTTCTGCCAACCGCGGAGTTGTATCTTACTTGCCTTTCGCTTTGCTGAACTCCTTGAGAAGGCGATCGAGAGAGAGAAATTGTCACACCGCCAGCTGCCAACCATGACTGGGGGTCATCTTATACGAACATTGGCGTATAATATAATATATATTACTATATAAATATATATATATATACCATAGAATAGCCAGTAATAAGGGGATGGGTTTAGGGTTTACTTCATTTTACTTGATCAAGGAAGTTCCCAGTATCCTCTTTCCACCCTCAGACCTCCAGGATTCCAGCTGCGTCCCTGCTGCAGGCAGCGAGTCTGCGAATTTGGGGTCTCTGCGACGATGTCATGAAACTCTTGGCGAAGGAGCTGCTTGGCGGAAGGAGAATCATGGGGAATCGAAATCCAAAAATGGTCCCGCTGCAACGGCCACAATCCCACGTAAAAAGATGGAAAATAGTCGGACAGTCAGATGGAATGGAGACTGCCTTTGCAAAGAACGATCAGAAAAAATGAAGGGAGACTTGTTCCAATGGAGCAGCATGCAGCAATAAGATTTAAAAAAATTGCTGTGACTGGAAAGAGTTGAAAGAGTTGAAAGAATCAAACTGCTGGGCCAGTCGTGACTGAGGATCTTGTCCTGGCGTCCTGTCTTTTTCCAGTTCGGGGTTTTGCCATGCGCCAGCCTGCATGGCCCCATTATTTGGAAAAAATAATGGAAAAACTACATATGATGCAAGTACAAGGTAGCTACAGAGGGAGTCGGTTGGATTTCCCCTGAATGTTTGCTTTTGGAATATGGGAGCCACGAGATCGGCCACCTGGCCATTTCAAATATGACAGTTGCCCATACTTGCCTTATGAAGTGCAATTAAACTACTGTATATGTTTTTTGTTCTTTACAACGCAACCATGTGCCTTCAGCCTCAAATAGCTACGATGTTGTAGGAACGCAACCATGTGCCTTCAGCCTCAAATAGCTATGATGTTGTAGGGTATACAAGCTGCTTGACTAAGCTTGTTAGTCATGCTGGGGGTATCGAAATATAGGGAAATATGTAGCATATTCATGCATACTCAATATCATTTAAAATCTAGGTACCGCATGTATGCTGTGGGTGTCGCTTCATGTACTGTATGTGGATGTGTGTGTGTGTGCGTGTGCGTGTTTGAGTTTATGCATTTGTACATGGGGCTTGTTTGAATGTGCAATAAGCAAATCAATGAATATGGTATACACCTATACGCCGATCTTCAGCTGAACGATTTGGGCAATCAGCCAAAAATAGTTTGCTCACAGTAGCCCCTGTCACTTTTGCAATGGAATCTGCTGGCATGAGCGACACAGTCCTTCTCCAAAGCGATGGCAAAGCAGTGGCTTGTGGGCAAAATGCTGACGGACAGTGCAACATTCCACCTCTGGATGAACGTCTTTCATACACCCAGGTTTCATACACCCAGGTTTCAGCATGAGTTACTGCAGCTGAAGATCATACAGTACTGCTTCGGAGTGATGGCACTTGTGTCTTTTGTGGCACTCCTGATGTTGGTCAATGTGACATACCAACTTTACGTGATGGACTCATGACATACGTCCAGATATCTGCAGGCGGGTGTCATTCGGTGTTTCTCCGGAGTGACGGTCATGTTGTGGCTTGCGGATTCAATTGCAGCGGAGAATGCGACGTCCCTCCGCTGAATGAAGGTCTTTCAATTTTTTCTTGCGTGCACATGGGCAGTCGGCGGTTGCGTAGCGCTTCTGTTTGGCTTCGTGCGGTTATTTTTGGTGGTGGTATTCACTTGGATGTTGTCTTTGCCACTCAATTAGTGGGGGTTCTTTCTCGCACCCAGCGCACGCGGGCCCGGACTTGGTCCTCTGTGTCTGGGACTCTTACCCGTGCGTTAAATGATTGGCTTTGTTCTCATGGATGGATTTGTGATGATACTTGGAAATGGAGTCATGCTTTGTCTCGCTCCGTGCTTGATTTTACAGTCAGCGATGATGCGGGTGCTCGGCAGCATGTGATCCGCAATGCTTGGCGTGCTTGGTGCCTTCATCAGCATTGCCATTAATGGTGTTTTTCGTAGAATTGATTGGGATGGTGTTCGGAAGTTTGCTGCTTCTGGACCAGAGGCGCGTGCAGTGGCAACAGGGGGTTGTTTTTCCCCTGCTGCTTTCCATAGCGCCCAAAATTTTGATGTTGATGACACTTGCATTTGGCCAGGTTGTCACGACATTGGCACTTTTGACCACATTGTGTGGACATGTCCTTGTCGACCTTGCAACATGGATATCCCGCCTCGACCGGGTGAAGTTCTCGTGGCTCGGTTTGGGTGGGTCATTTCTCGTTCGGTTGCTGACATGGATCGTGTTCATGCTTGGCTTGCGTTTGTGCAACGTAGAATTTGGGATCTCCGGCATGGCTCTTAGTGCTATGCCGGTCCCGGCACATGTTTGCTCGTTCGTTTGGTTCTTTTCTTTTGGGTTGCCTTGTTTTCCCCCTGTTGTTTGGGGTTGATTACTGGCGGGTCCCTGGTACTATGATCGGGACTATGATCGGGGTTTTTGTGCCCTGTGGATTGGGTGAGGGCACTGACTTGTTTAGTGCCTGTTCACGTGCGCTGCTTGTTTGGGGGTAGTTCACTCAAAAGTTTCACACATACACCCAGGTTTCTGCAGGCATGAGTCATACTGTGCTTCTCCGGAGTGATGGAAACGGTGTGGCCTGCGGATACAATGGCAGTGATCAGTGCAATATTCCACCATTGGATTGTCATACACCCAAGTTTCTGCAGGTGGAGATCACACAGTGCTTCTGCGAAGCGATGGCCACGCTGTTGCTTGCGGAGATAACAGGGACGGACAATGCGAGATTCCCCGTGCAGAGACTGGAAGGGACTACGTTTGTGAATGTTTGTGATAAATTTGCTAAAGACTTTTTGCAGCTTGCTTTACTTTGTGAAGACGATAGGATCATTCTAACATGTTCGAAATTGTCGGGGCATGAAGTATTTCGCTTCAATGCGGATGGCACTGACCTGGCGTGGAATGCTCAAAAGCGCATTGCCGGTGAAATGGGCGTTCGGCCCCAAAAATTTGCAACTCATTTTGCCTGACGGAAGACTGTTAAGAGAATTCTGCCATGATCCAAAAGCAACCATTGCTGATGTCCACCTGCATAGCTACGTCACATAGTGACTCGCGCCTGCTCGCCAATGCACTTCTATTGTCTGTAAATATTGACAAGTTGATTCCATGCTTTGATACAGAGGCATGGTCCCAAGAGGCACTGTGCTGCTTCAAAAATGCTACTGTCCGTTTTTTTGCGCTAGTGAAGGGCCATCAACCCCTGCGATAACTGGGAAGTACAGCTAATTGATATGACATGCTCCTTGCTGGCCTCAAATGTGTGCACGATTCCTAGAGCGTACGAAAAGAAGATGTACAGTATCTTGATTGCCATGTTGCGGGATGTACTGTATGGTTTTCTGAGCATATTTGGCCCCATCATCATGCTTTGAGTTTTTCAACATGGAGAATTAGTTTTTGGGATTTTGTGGAACCTTCATGAACCTCCTGTATCTTTTTTGTTTTACCAAAAGTTATATACCAAAGACAACCAAAGACAAAGACTGTAGTTTCCTCTCACTTTCGACTGGGTAAACCTTGCTTTGGCAGGTGCCATGAAGGGGGGCTTAATTCACATCCAGCCTTTTCGTGCACTGAATACTTGAGCTTAGCCATTTATATCGAATTTGTTCCGGGATGGCCAGTGAAAACAGGATTTCATGTGATGTTGTTTTCCAATAAATATATATGATTCAAATTAATGTGTGTTTTTTTTTCGAGGTGCTTAAGGTTTGCTGTGATATCCCGCTGGTTTCCCTAAATATCCAGACTTAGTATAGTTGTTGAAATCATTACGACATGCCCAAAATTCTCAAGAAACCTTTTGAATTTTGGTATAGGTTTAATAGGTTTTATAACTGATCTATTTTGCCACCTTCAAACAGCCGGCTGCTGGTCGATGGCCTCAGGTTGCGGTTGAAGGTGCCAGATCCCAAAGTCCAACGTCGTGGCGAGGAGTGGGTGAGGAGTCATCCCAGACTCACCTACAACACGCCGGTGCGAAGCGCTAGGGATCCCATGTGATGCTGATATATCTGATATCTCGATGGGAGCTGTAGGTAAGAGCGGAAAAAAAGAATGATGGTTGAAGACTGTACTTGAAATCAATCTTAGATGTTCTCGGTTTTTTGAGAATCAACCTGGGGTTGAAGATGTTTGTGTGGCTGAGCCATATTGACAAAGTTGGATTGTGGGTTAGTTTTTCGCCAAGTGAGGGAATGAATTGCCCAGCCCAGCTAGACCGACCTCCTTACAGGATAGCTCAGCAGTATATATAATGGTAAAACATCTAAAACAACATGTTTTCTAGAAAGAATGGCTGTCAAAACCTTAGTCAATCAGTCTAGCCAGCCCGAGGAGGATTAGCATCCTGAAGTAATTATATAGGTACTTGAGCCACTGCCAAAACCACTGCCAAAAGCAAGGGTAAAAACATGAAAGTGGGATAGAAAAGTGCTTGCTGGTTCGGAAAGATTGGTGGCACAATTTGCTTAGACTGGGTGTATGTATAATATTGTATAATTATATGTTATATATATATAGAGTCTTATATAGCCTATATATATATATAGAGTCATAGAACGCCAAGCTCTTGTAAATTTCTAAAAAGGTTGGGTAAAATTTCAGAGTGCAAGGTTGGCAGTTGAAGATTTCTTTTAGCGCATTCTGAGTTTTCCCCCCGGTCTCCACCAGATTGGGATCTCAGCTGCGTGAGTTTCGCTGTTGTACAGAAGCAGCCAAACCGATATGAACTGTTTCAACTTAGGTTTCCTTGCAGGTCCATTGCGGGCTGCCCCTGCGACAGAGTTTCGCTTTTCTGTACTGAAAAAACTTTGGGGCTTTCATGTGGCAGACTTGGGGTCCGGAAGAGTCTCCAATCACCTAAGGCCAGTTGCGAAGCTGGAAGGGCAAACTTGATGATCAGCTTAATCTTGTTTGATTGGTGCCAAAACTAGTTGGAATATATACGCAGCCATAACATCCAACAACTTTGGGGATAGAACCAGCAAAAACCGGAGGTTTGACTAGTTTGGCAGTTTCAAGGCTTTGTACTGTATTGTCCATTCTTTGCGCGGGATATCCTGGAATAATGATTCCAATGGTTATTGTAATTTATACCATTCTAGTCAACTGACATTGCAATTCAATGAGATTCATCATTCTTCGGTCGTTTTCATTGGGAAACACCGTATATGTTAATTTACTGCAGGGCCTGGCTTTACATTCAACTAATTTATATGCATGCGCGTGTTTATATATATATAAATACTGTGTATAGCCGTGTGTAGATAATTCTTGGGACACCAATCAACTAGCTGAGGATGGGCAAGCTGGCAAGCAATATGCCGTCCTTCGAGATCAAAGAACCTTGAGGCCCGTGGCTGTTACCTTCGTGGCACATCGTGGCGAGGGGCGTGCAAGCTGAGATGGCAATCGCAAATCCCCGACCTCATGTTGCTGTTTCAGTGATGCGTCGATTTTCCTTCTTTCAGGATCCCTTCAGGGTCTTATGTGCGAAATTCATCAAGTGATTGGAGCGATCTCACAAGGAGGTCACCGCAAATAGATGGCCAATAGTCAATACAGATGGTTTTATTGGGGGAACCATCCCCAAAATAAGAATGTGTAGTTGGATATTGAAGAATTAGAATCATTTGCCCAGAATTTATCCATATTTATCCAACCCCTTTCTCGGGTATGCAAAGTGCTTCACCATGTCCGGCATTGCAGGAGCGCCCTCATGGGTTTTGCAGATGGACGGCAGGCAGCGACGTCACCGGAATGATGATTGGTAAGGGGAACTATCCCAACATGACCTTACTTCAGCTTGGTGACTTGTTTTCATTAGTCCAGCTGGGTTGTTACTGTATGTTTTTTTTGAGATTGTGATTCCAATGATTCTGTGCTTTCTCAAGGCTGATGCGCATGCCTTCCAAATGTTGCTAAGCTCCACAACCAGACTTCCATCCGCAAGTAGCCCAGGAACACCTGGCACCTGATGTCAAGCCCCATCAACATGTTTTTTAATGTTTGCAAGTGTTGCCTTTTTCTCAATAGACGGATAAGACGGACAACACACGTGTGGCATATACATAAACATGTCGCGGCACACGTCTCTAGCTCGCAATTGAGGCGCATATGCTTTACGGTTTTCCATTTTCTGTCAGGTTGCGGTGCAACTCATGGAAGAGGAGACATTCCCCGCTGCCACTACATTAGCTAGGGAATCCTCGGATGGGATTTGATGGATACTTTAGTACTATATACATAACTATCGTTTATTTTTGTTGGCGGCCACAGGGGAAAATATACTTGAAGTATTTTGAAGTATTAACTAGAAATTTGCTGTTGAATTGGTGTCGCCATAGCTTCTGAGTAGCTCATTGGTTTGCTTTAATTGAAAACATGCACGGAACCTACGATTCCCTCTTGATTCCTTCTTGATTCCCTCTTGTTCCATGCTTTTTACCACTCAGTCGTTGGTTTTGCCACAGTTTCCTACCTTTTCATGAAACCAACATCATACTTCCAACCAATTGCTTGCCTTCTCATAGCAGCCATTTTGGAGCAGGAGGAGGAGCTGGGACCTGATGATTTGCTTCTCTTAGTGAGGTGCGGATAAGATGGGTCAACAAATTGGTACTGGTGGATTGGACATGGACCACTTGGAGAATCATCTTATATGATATTTTATGGTTTAAAATTGATAATTATATGATTGATATGTTATAGCCATGTGATTTAAAACCATAAAATATATAATACCATATGCTATGATACAGTAATATACGGTTATAACGTTAACACACTTATATGAAACGACGTTTAGTGAAGCGCGGAGAAAGAATTGTCCCAGGCCATGGCGGGTGGTGGAAGCGCGGCTTCATGCACCCACGGAGCCAATGTTGGGATGGGCCACCAAGAAGCTCGGGTTTGATAATAGATCATCATCATATCATAATCATTTCACACACACACATATACATACATATATATCCTATATATATATATATGTATATGTATATATATATATATGTATATATGTATATGGTTTCCATCCCCCCAACTAACAGCTCGACCCTGCCATGAGTTGCTCTAAAACGTCGCGGGTCGCAGGGTCTATGTTGGGGTTCGGTTATTGGTAATGTGTATTTCATGTTCTTTTTCTGGGCTTAGACGGGCTCAGAATATATTTGTGTGATCTCCTTTCAAGCAGGACGTGGCACATCACTAAGAATCAACTAATTATCAAGTCCATATGATGATGTAGCTGCTATGGCTCTGTCTCAGGCAACCATGCAACCACTAGCAACTACGACAAAAAACAATGAGGAATAATGAGGTATGGAATGTTGCCAACAAAACAGGGATACTACAGTATTTCTGTGAAATTGTTTGGAGCAAGAAAGCGGTTCAGAAATGGTCCAGGTTGAATGTACTGAATGGGAGCTCAAGAATCACAGTGTGGTAGTTTGGCCAATCACAAAAATCTCATAGGTACAAGAATCCCGGGCATGCAATGGGCCGGGAGTGCAATGAATCTATTATATATATAATATACACGCACATATAGACATATGTGTGTATGTATATATATATATATATTATAGTTATTCAAAATATATGTAAATCTATAATACACACACACATATATATATATATATGGAGGGCTATTGATTTTGGGATGTTTTCCGTTTTGGGCATTTTTTGGATTTCTGTTTCTTTGCTTCTTTGCTTCTCCACTCTTCTGCTTCTCTGCTGTTTCCTTTTTTTGGCTTCTCAAGCCTAACTAAGCCCGAAGATGCACAATATAAATACACCCTGAACCAACCCTAAATAAACCCAAACTAACAGTCACCCTCAAAAAAAAAACAAAAACAACTTTAAGTAACCCCTAAACAAACCCAAACTCTGAAACTTATTTACCCTAAACAAACCCTAAACCAGCCCTAAATAGATCATACACCCACCCCAACTAGATCTTAAACCAAGCCTACCAACCTTGAATAGATGCTACATAAATCTTAAACCATGCCTAAAGAAAGCCCAAACCAACCCTACGTAGATCCTAAACCAACCCTAAATAAGCCCCAAACCAACCCTAAAACTAACCCTAAAAAAGCAAAACAAACCCTAAACCAATCCGAAATAAACACTAAAACAAACCCTAAATGGACCCTAGTCGCAAAATATCATCCAACATGAAAAGTTTGAGCACCAAAATGTTGCAAATACTATGGAAAATTAGAGGTTCGAACTCCAAAATGTTGCAAATACCATTGAAATGGCAGCTTCCAGCTCCAAAATGTTGCAAATTGCAGAGAAAACGGACAGAACAGTAGATCAAGAAAAAAAACAAAGCGGAAAAACATAATTCCCAAAACATTTCCGGACCCTATATCTATATATATATGCATACATATGTATATGCATGGGGTTTTGTGTTGCACTAAGTAAGTTTTCCTGGTTAATCCCAATTTTTGCCGGCTAAACTATTCACTCTTGTTGGTTGATGCGTGAATCTTAGAAGAGGAGATGGTGGTGTCCAAGAATCAGCCTTTGGTTGAGTTCCAAGCCAAGTTGACTGAGCGCTACAAGGGCCTACTGCAGGTGACGCTAATGGTTGACGTTTTCAGGGTCCCTGGGGCGTGGTTAGTTTGGCGGAGATGTTTGGTATAGAAGTGCAGCATAGCTCATCCAATGATTGAATGTTCCAGAACACAAGTGGTTCGAAATGTTTAACAAATTTGACAAGATGTTCGGTGCTTTCTGAGTTCTATGAAGTTTGACAAGATGTTTCGAGGTAGGTAGTTTGAGAAAAACCTTTTCAGTTTTTTCCTTTGAAACAGATGCCCCAACAGCCCTGGAATGATGTGACTGGCAACCAGGACGGGAAGGACGAAGCCGACAAGGAGAATCAACCAGAGAACCTGGAGGAGCTTCCAAGATGACCTGGGAATTATTCATGGAACTGGGAAAAAATTGACCATCCTTTGTGGGATATTCTGCAAATATCTGAGAATTAATGGATCCAGTTTGAGTGAAAATTTGAAGTTGAGAATGGTTTCTGGGGTTGAACATGGATCCAGGATGTTTGTCAATGTTGAGGAGTTGAGGACCACTGTTACTCACAGATTTTTGGTGGCCTGCTGATCTACCAATATATTAAGCCCACGTTGAGGAGGAGTGCATGCTGTGAATACTAACTTTCAGGATCATCCAAGTGGAAGTGATTTGAAACCCCACATTGGCCAAGAAACAACAGATTTCTAGACAGGGGAATTTAGCATGCAATTAGATGTTGGGAGTTGCCCTGCCAGTCATATCGCTGTATTGCATTTCACTTGGGTCACTTGGGGAAGGTGCAATAGACATCAATAGACGATGGATGATGATGGTGCTTGACGGTATGTGCTTGAGAGGCAAAGTTGAAACGGTACCATTTTATGATCCCACTTGGATTGAAATGTAGAGTGTGCAGTGTCGAAGTAGTGTAGTGTGTAGAATGGGCGGTGTGCGAAGTCTAGAGTGTAGAGTGTGAAGTGTAGGGTGGGCAGTGTAGAGTACGGAGTGTTGTGGAGTGTAAAGTGTGGAGTATAAAGCGTCAAGAGGGGAGTGTAGAGTGTGCAGTGTGGATTGTAGGCGTCTAATATATCCAATCAACCACTATGTACTGGTGGTTTTTGTGGTGGTTTGGAAGTTGCTGGGGATACGTGGGATGGGTTGCAACCAGCAGCCTCTTCGGCCATGAGGACAAGCTGGAGATATGTGTGGCTCACGCGACTGGTCAGGGAACCCAGGGAGCTTCGAGATTAATGATTGGCAACATAAATGCGGTCGGTTATATGATGTTTGGTGTATTGTTGGGCCCTGGGTTTATCATATCAAACTGTTCTATCATCGAATACATTATATGATGGAGGGTAGCAACGGAAAGAATCACTAGGTTGACATATTTTGGGGTCACCCTCAGGTGGTTTACTTCTCCTGGCTTGGGATTCCAAAGAATTCCAAGGGTATGCACCAACACCAACGCCTGGTCATTTGTCCATATTGTCCGAACTTTGACTTCGAAAATTCGATAATAGACATGCAATTCTACGTGTATATATTTTTTTTGACGTAAAGACTGGATACATTGATATGCATAAAGAGAAAGAGAAAGAGAAAGTCAGGGAAAGAGACTGGCTGGCTTGAATCCCAACACCAAATCGAGGGCTATTCCAAGACATAGCAACTACATAGCCTCCATCACCGCCAGGTCCACCAATGACCATCAAGCGATGTTCCTTGGTGCGGAAGGGGTGGGTGTGGCAGAATGCTGGTACCAACATTTGCGAGGATGGAGGACACACGCGATTTTAACAATTCACCCTTTCCAATGTTTGAGATATTTTGAATTGTTCGGCCATGTTTTTGTTTGGTGGGAGATTTGCGTGTCAAGAGAAACCTCCTGAAGCTTCGCTTCAGAGAATGAAATGGAACATGCTGAGCATAAAACCGCATATACCTCATGTTTGAACCAGTTCAAGCCGGCTTAGAAGGCGATTATATTGCTAGAAGATTGCAAACTGTTTGCAGCTCGTTGCAGTTCCATCAAATTTGCATGTTGGATTTCAGGGACATAACCACGTTGCCCCGCATATCATCCACATTCCTAAACTTGCCTGATGTTTCCTGATTTGTTGGCCGCAAATTTTGTGTCCTAAGGTGAGACCTTGAAATGGTCCGAGTCACGGTTGTGTGGCGTCTCGGACGTGACCTTGGCTGACCTCAAGGTGCACCTTTGGAACCGCTTCCTATAAGTTGGGTTAGCTCAGGTTTTAATGGTAGATGCACCTGGCTGAATTATAACGACCCCACTAATAATGGTTAGTAGGGGTACTACCCCAGAATATCCCAGAATAGCATGATTTCAGATTATAGTAAATTACTTTAATTTACCCAGATATAGGTACAGGTAGGATTATGTTGGTATATGCACTTAGCGAACCTTGGGGGTTATAAACCATTAATTATATATAAACGAAACATCACTTGAGGGACCCACCTTGTATGGTGTCCCTCTCTTTGGGATGATGACTCAAATTGACAACCTCGACATTTTCAACCAGCTGAAACCAACCACAACAGCTAAAAAACGGGGCCACTGTTTTGAAATAGTTTTTGTGGTTTATAATTCCTGCATTGTTTGCTGTCCTGTGTTGAGAGGTTTTTTGGTCAATCCATGACATTTTTTTTTCTGAGTCTTTAATGTTTTTTGTGGGTAAAAACCATGTTTTTCTGGTTAACTCCCATGTTTATTGTAGGTAAATCCTATGTTTTGATTTGTTTTTGTTGGAAAATCCCATGTTATTTCTGGTTTGGTTGGTGAAGTCCCTGAGTGTTTCCTGGCGCTTTCCGCCACCTCCATGCCAGGAGCTTCGGGACGGCGTGACACTCATCGTCCGCTCCAGGGCTGCGGCCTTGCGTGGGGCGCAGGCGGGGACCCATGGGATCCTTGAAGATCAGTGACTCAGTGACCAATGAATGGCTGGCTGGTTGGTGGTTTGGAACATGTTTTATTTTTCCATATATTGGGAAGAATAACCCCAACTGACTTCAACTGACTAATATTTTTTAAGAGGGGTAAGTCAACCGCCAACCAGGAAAAATGGCTCGAGTTTTCATGGCTGAAGCGAGGTGGAGAGCAAGGCTGTGAAGGGTAATGGCAAAGGCCCCACCAAAGGCTCACAGGCGAGACTTGGGTCATCTTGGGTCCGATACGGAGAAGTACGCGTTGGAAACATAGCTCTGGGTCCTTTTTTAATAGGAACAAGCTATCAAAAGGCGCCCCCAAATCATAGGTAAGTTGCTTTACCACTAGGCTAACTATGTTTTTTTTGGGATGTATTTAAAGACCTAAATGGGGTTATAATATCTATATATAATTCCATTCATATAATCTTGTATGAATGGGGACCCTTCCTGCACAACGAATGAGACTGAAAAACATGAGAGGTGTTCGTGCCATGTTGAACTACCAGATGTTTTCTTGCAGCAGTGGGGAGCTGCGGACAGGCACCCACCATGTTTTATACATGTTAAAAAAAAAAGATAGCAAAGGCGGATGGCATTTCTTGTAGTGGTTGCTGCTTTCATGTAGGCTTCACTGGATATACCTCCGTTTGGTAGGTTGATTAGCTAGCCTTTTCTTGGCAACGTAAGAACATACTATCCTGCTGTCTTCTATCCAGAACTATCCCTGAACCAGAGAAACATGCATGAAACGCAGCATCAACCGAAATGCTCCCATTTAAGTTTATATGCATATGCATATATAATCACATATATATATACACAAGTTGCATACGTATAGACTTACTGGTGCTTAGAAGGGAATGAGGGAATGATCCACGATAACTATTAAATACTCTTAATAATAATCCCATTCCCACATTCCCATCCATTCAGTACCAAGCACCAGTAAGTATATCACAATTTACATGTAATGTTAGCAACGCAACAAGAAATGTCAATAAACCACCTATGTCTTGATGGATCCTGCTGAAAACGCCAGGCCGGTCGCAAGGGAGCAGCCCAGGGGCAGGGCACACAGCCCACTGTGACGGTTGGAGAACTCAGTGAACGCTAGCAACTTCCAAATTACTTCACTTCGAATGATCCCCACCATGACATTTATACATTTTCTTACTGGCAAATCTTCTGGCATTCTATCTGACATATCTTCTGGCATTCTATTTGGCATTCTATCTGGCAAATCTTCTGGCATTCTATCTGGCATATCTTCTGGCATTCTATCTGGCAAATCTTCTGGCATTCTATCTGGCATATCTTCTGGCATATCTTCTGGCATTCTATCTGGCATATCTTCTGACATTTTTTCTGGCATTCTATCTCGCATATCTTCTGACATTCTATCTGACATATCTTCTGGCATTCTTTCTGGCATATCTTCTGACATTCTATCTGGCATATCTTCTGGCATATCTTCTGGCATTCTATCTGGCAAATCTTCTGGCATTCTATCTGGCATTCCCTCTGGCAAATCTTCTGGCATTCTATCTGACATATCTTCTGGCATTCGCTCTGGCATTCTATCTGGCATATCTTCTGGCATATGTTCTGACATATCTTCTGGCATTCTATCTGGCATATCTTCTGGCATTCGCTCTGGCAATCTATCTGGCATATCTTCTGGCATATGTTCTGACATATCTTCTGGCATTCTATCTGGCATTCTATCTGGCATATCTTCTGGCATATGTTCTGGCATATCTTCTGGCATTCTATCTGGCATATCTTCTGGCATTCTATCTGGCCGTTGAGGTCCGGCAGTGCCCACTGGGATCTGGAGCTCGCGGTTGAGGTCCGGCAGTGCCCACTGCGATCTGGAAATCGCGGTTGAGGTCCGGCAGTGCCCACTGCGACCTGGAAGTCGCGGTTGAGGTCCGGCAGTGCCCACTGGGATCTGGAGTTCGCGGTGGAGGTCCGGCAGTGCCCACTGGGATCTGGAGCTCGCGGTGGAGGTCCGGCTGTGCCCACTGGGATCTGGACTGCGAGGAGGAGGAGGAGGACGAGGAGGAGGAGGAGGAGGATGCGGAGGCGGAGGAGGAGGAGAACAATAAAATCTAACAACCCTCACCTGGCAGGTGGGGAACAAAATGTGGTAATTAATGTGGTAAAATGAGAAAGACAGTTGTAAAAAAAAAATAATTTTGCAATTAATGTGGGTAAAAATAAGTGGTAATTAATGTGGGAAAAACAATGTCATAAACCATCCATGACTGGGAATGCTAAACATACCACCTATTTATGGTGAAATTGGGGATGTGTTATTATTAAGGTATTATTGTTTTACCAACATTAGGAAAAATACCCACTGTACTGAATTCACTTTTCTGCCTTTTTTGTATCCCTTTTTTGGATGGTTGCCAAACTGAAGTCCACTGAATAGGCGTGGTGTGGGTCAACATAAATAAACCACAACATCAACCCAGTCATGATCTGACTAAGTGTCGGATCGTTAAAAGTATTGTTTCAGTCAAGAAACGTTGGGTCAGTGGGAATTGTATGTGAAAACTATTGAGCTGTGAACCCCAAAAAATGGATTAAGAAGATTAAGTTGGAAGATTTGACACCTAAAATCACAAAGTGTGTGTCAATGGCATGGGTCACCACAAATATCCTACCCATCTAAAAGTGAAACACGGGCGCTTTCGTCATAGTTGTCACAAACAGTTTCAGCATGTTTCAACTTTCAAACATGAACAAATGGTTCCATAAATATGTGCTGCCTGGTGGTGTCAAACATGTTTGATCACCCCTGGAGATGATGATCTCATTGTGAGGTATGGGAGATGGGGTGAAACCTCATGACACCCACCTGACCCCAATTAATTGTGATCCAGAAAAATAATATATATGTATATATATATGTATATATATACAAACCTTTTGGTAGCCTAACACAGCTATAGAAAATGGCCCATTGAAAGATGATTTGGTAAATAAAAATGGTGACTTTCCACATGTCAACTTACCAGAGTGGGTGTTAGTTTGTCCTTCCTCTCGGTGATTGGTTAATACAGACAGGATTTGCTTCCTGCTTTGAACACCAGTGTGCAAGGGTGTTGACCCACAAACCATAGCTATTACATCAGCCTTGATTAAGCAGCTTGATCTATTTCATATTGGACTCTCTTTTAGCCCATTCTTGTTGTTAGATATACCTTTTAGTAAAACGACACATCAATTGGAGACCCCTACCCTCAACAGGAAGTTCACCCTGGCATCCTCAATTGGGGTATGCTAGCCTAGTAGTGGAATGACTGTTTTACATTACCCCTTTTTTCGGGTTGGTGACTGATAAAGGTCTATGGCTTTGGGGGTGCCACGCTCGTAATCTCAATATTGGTTATACATTTGTTCATTCAAGCACACTTTCTGTTGGAAAAATCGCCACTGTCGCTAATCCCATCCCCTAATCTTCACCCATGTATGGGCCCCCAGAATGAACAGATTCAATATTAAACCAGGGTTTCAAGGGGTGTCATAATATTCTGATATATTCTGTAGATAGGCTTGTCCCCTTGGGTCAAAATTTCCGAACACCTCCACCGCAGTTCCCCAAGGTTGCAACTGCCAAAAGCCGCGCCGAACGGAGCTTGGTGATTCAGGCCAAGCCTGGCAACATAGCTGGGAAATCCTTGGACTGGAAGATTTTAGTAGGTATATAAATCATCGAAGTACACGAGCCATGGCTTTCAGCTTGCAAACTATTAAAGTTCAGGAGCGTAGCGGGGGAATCATCAAGAAACCTGGGGAGATGGAGATTGCACCATGACAAAGAAGGAATCTAGCTGGTAAGTGAATCAAACATTGCAATTTTACTGTAACCACCAGAAAGATACAAAAATATAATTCTACTACTTAAATTGTGATCAATTAATTGCTGTTCTATTTTTTCGGGCTTTGCTGCAACTTGAAGCACCACACATCTATAAGACCATCTAAGGAGACAATCATTAACGGTGGACTTCCAGTTCCCATGTTTCAATGAATTTGAATGCTAGGGGGCATAGTGGAAATCACCAACAACAAGAGGGAACGAACGCTGCGATAGCACCAGCAAAAGTTCGGGGAATGCTTCGGTGGTGGTTTCAAAATGGGCGGTTTTGTTGGAGGGATATGATATGAATTTGGGTTATGATATGGCTGCTTGGAAATTCGTCAAATACGCATTCAGCAGTCCACTCCCCAAACAAAACAGGAGGATGGCCCCAGTGGGGTTGGCTGTTATACCACTGCCTTCGATGGCAGGTAGCACACCCAGAGGCGGACGAGCTGGGAACTTCCTCCATCTCCTCCTCGCCCTCCTCCTCGCCCTCCTCCTCGCAGTCCAGATCCCAGTGTGCACAGCCGGACCTCCACCGCGAGCTCCAGATCCCAGTGGGCACTGCCGGACCTCAACCGCGAGTTGCAGATCGCAGTGGGCACTGCCGGACCTCAACCGCGACTTCCAGGTCGCAGTGGGCACTGCCGGACCTCAACCGCGATTTCCAGATTTTAGTGGGCACTGCCGGACCTCAACCGCGAGCTCCAGATCCCAGTGGGCACTGCCGGACCTCAACTGCGACTTCCAGATCGCAGTGGGCACTGCCGGACCTCAACCGCGATTTCCAGATCGCAGTGTGCACTGCCGGACCTCAACGGGAAGAAAAGATGTCAGATAGAATGTCAGAATATATGCCAGATAGAATGCCAGAAAGAATGTCAGAAGATATGCCAGACAGAATGTCAGAAGATATGCCAGAAAGAATGCCAGAAGATATGTCAGATAGAATGTCAGAAGATATGTCAGATAGAATGCCAGAAGATATGCCAAAAGATATGCCAGATAGAATGTCAGATAGAATGCCGGAAGATATGCCAGATAGAATGCCAGAAGATATGCCAGATAGAATGCCAGAAGATTTGCCAGATAGAATGCCAGAAGATATGCCAGAAGATATGCCAGATAGAATGCCAGAAGATTTGCCAGATAGAATGCCAAATAGAATGCCAGAAGATATGTCAGATAGAATGCCAGGAGATTTGCCAGTAAGAAAATGCATAAATGCCATGGTGGGGATCATTCGAAGTGAAGTAGTTTTTGGGCATAGATCATCTCATAGATCTAGGGAGTTCTGTCATGTGTTCGCCCAATGTTGAGCACGCTAAGGCCTGAGGCAGGTGAGACGCCAGGGTAGGGCTACTGGTGATGGTCTCTTTTAAAGCTGTTTGTTTTGGAGCTTTGTTTAAGCATTGTTTCTGCAATATCAATGCAGTAGAGGAAGCCAAGGTTCCCAATTGTACATATATCAATTTGATGGTTAAACTAGTGAAATAACCTTGGATAAAAATAAAAAATAATTAATCCAAAAGAAATCAAGGATGAACACATCCAACAGCAATCCAACGGCTGATTTATGTTTTTGTCAATTCTACAAGATTGCTGACCCTGGGAGATGGAGCCTGAAGCATGGCGCCAAAGGCATGCGCTGTGAAAGATGGAAAAGTGAGTGCTGGGAAAGCCCGGCTGAATGTAGCTCCCTCTCGGACCAAAACACACTGCCATACATTGATAGTCCGAGAGCCATGAGATCGTTATAATATTGTGGTACGGTATAGGGAGAAACCTCAATTATTCTGCTTGTTTCAAGCTTCACCCGCGGAATCTGGTCAAAAACATTTAGATCTTCGAAGACTGATCGGATACATCCTGCAGCCACCAGGAACTGTCTCATGACTTGCATAAGTGTGATTGAACATGTTGCTAATATATCTAATATACCTCAAATATGACAATTTTACTGGGGAAAATGATGATTGATCCGAAATTAATCGGATTTTTTTGGACAAAGGCGCAGAATGTCAGCGCTGGATTGCCAAACCTTCGCCCATAGCCTCCCAGGTGGGAGCCTCTGTGGTGGAACCCGATGGTCGCCTGCAAAAGTGCAGGTGACGGGTGAGGGATGGTGAGGGCTGTGTCTCACTGGTTTGGGAGGATTCTTGGTGTTTTGGGGGGATGGGTGCCAAAGGGCCCTCAAATGTCATAAAACTCGGGCATGTATACAATCTTTTGGGTTTTGGGGGGTCAAGCAATCTCTATGAAATTTGGACTGCATGGGATTGCTACTTGTCTTGATCGAGTTTGAAAATCTTGAAACGATTTTGTGATCGGCCGCTTTCTGCCAACTTGGGCAGCATTGAATCTTCGGTCTACATGTGTTATGTGTTGGCTAAATATGTGTTGACACACCTGCTGACAAGTTTTTTTTTGGCGCTTGGCTTAGGCTTACTCTATCAAGATGTCGGGAGGTACTCTCTCTTTGAAATGACCCGAACATTTTTAAGATCACCCAGGTGATTTGCATAGTTTTCCCATGCTTTCCCACTTCCGGCTGCAGGCTCCGGATCGAGTTGGGGCATCCAAGACGCCCATGCCAAAGGAATGTAATTTAATGATATTTAATGTATTGATTTGATGAAATATAGATTCCAAGCACCCTTGCATGCGGTCAGTAAAATAATATAGAACAACAAGATAATATAAGCGTCAGTAACCCTTCGCACAGTGAATGAAGCCTTGCGCAGAGCTCCCTCGTTTTATACAGGTTACATTGTTACCAAGTGGACGAAACATCAACAGGTTTTTCGGTGACCCAACCGCCGGGGATGCTTCCCAGGTTTGATACCTGGCCGGGTTTGTTGGTGCGATCCTCAGTGTCAAGACCAGCCCAAGTGACTGGCTTGACCTCACCGTTTCACAGGACATGAAATCTCCAAGGGTGATCAAGGATTCTAGGGGGGTTCAGGTCAGGTCAGAATCTGTGCGGCGCAGCAGTTCTGAGACTTTTCCGTTTACATCCTGATCCCCTGCTGTTTAGTACCACCCAATGGCTTGAATCCATTCATTAGAAAAGGGGCGACCGCAGGTCCATCCCACAGGGCCTGGTGCGGAGAAGGTGCTGGCTGCGTGTTCAACAATGGTGTATGGCTCGGCCCAAGCTGTTCATAGCTGCCCTGAAGTTCCATGTCAACCCATGATGACAAACTCAAGGAGATCCTAGTTGATCTAGTTGCGCTGATCGTGCCCGACTTGGCAAGAAGGTACCTTAGACACTGAGACACTGGCCTTACAGGTCATATGATATGAGCTGTTCCCGATCATGTGAGGCTTTTTCAATTGTCACCACATATGTGTAATTATATAAATGTTTGACAATCCGGATGCTGTGACAATATCCTAGGAACGTACCTACCTGCATCAGGAAATTGGTTGCTAGTCACCCAAACGCTCTGCATGATGATGTTTGTTCCTTCAAATGCATGCCAAAGAAACACCCCCAACATCACAGCTAAGCAACCGTGGCAAAAGATCGTGCTGGCAGAGTTCCAGACAATTCCCGGTGGTTCCCGGTGGTTCGGCCATACTAAAACAGGTGCAGCCCATCCCTGCTATGCCATGGCGGCTGTTTCTGTTTCTGCCTGCAGCGATCGGTCAAACACCGGGCCCTGGGCCCTACGACTTGGTGGCAGTTCAACTGCTGGAGGAGGCTGGGGTGAGTACAGCAACCCCAAGTTAAGATGCAGAAGAGTAAGACCTATACACTACAATCATCTAAAATATACTTGTGAACTATGTTTCTGTCTTCTTTGGGGGGTGCACTCAGCAGTAGGTTGTAGCAGATATACGCAACTGTTTGGATAATGCTATAAACCTGAGTTGCCTGTGGTATTTTCTTGGTCTTGGAATTCAAAAAATTGCAAATGGAGGGGTCCCGGGCAAAAAGGATGACTTGATATAGAGAATACCACTATTTTGCGAATGCGAATGGATTGGCGGAGCCCCTTGACAACATCACTGGTTATAGATTTTGATAAAGCCCGGGCCAAGTGCTGACAGATGCTATTTTTTTCTAACTAGAATCCCAAGCTTTGGAAAACCCAAGAAGTTTCAAAACCCCAAAAGAAGCGCGACATATCCCAAATTTGCCGGTTAAATCCCACATTTGGCACATCCAGAACAGTTCTTTTTGGGTGAAAATCGATGCACCGAGTGTTTTTTTCAAGGAGTGCCCAGCCTCGACTACGTCACCCAACGTGCTGAATGCTTGGAAGACACCCACGGTGGCGTCCCTGGAGGCCTGGTGATTTTTCGGCACTTTGGACGGCTATAATTTGTGTACATACTTAGGTATATTTGGAGATATATGATATATGTACCATTGTGTACCCAGTCAACTTGTGGTGAGAGCAGGATATAGTTGGGATGAAGTGGATACATGCTTACCATCCCGCACACTTAGCCCACAAGCCAAGAATTTAACCTTGGGGATCCAATTGGAATCCAACCACCTACAGGGAGGAACTCTTCAAGAAGGCGATGGAGAGAAGTACAGAAAGTGATGGTTAACCAGTGGATCTTGGGTTACCCTATTTTCAGACAAACACATATTACCATGACTATCTGAGATTATCCAGGCTTATCGGGGTTATTCCCTGGTGGGTATTACAATCATGATTGGCTATACCATGCTTTACCAATTGGAGACCAGCCTCACGCAACTGAAGCTGGAAAACCCTTGATATTTCGATCCGGGGTAAACCTTGATTGGTATATACTGTATTATTATGTTTATGTTTTCCATAGTTGAGAAAAAGTGCAACCAAATTAAGCTTGAAATGCAGGGTTTCTGAGGTTTCCCATGTAGTAGGAACAACAACTTGAGATTTATATTGCCTTTATATATGCAAATCTGTGATTACCTTGCCTCACAGGAATGTTAGGAATGGGTATGCACCGTTCCTTGGACATTTCTAAGAGGCAAGCAATGTTGGAATGTACCACTGCTTTTTTTTGGTGCACCATTAAAATATATTAAAATAATATGGGAATTCAATATTGGAATGTCAAACACTTGCTTCTTTTTGGAAAAGTGTGCCTTTTTTGGTGGGAAGAAAGATGTGAGATGCGTGCAACAAAGAACTACATTGTTTTGATGCCATGGGAAAATCTCCTACAGTGGAGATCTACTAAGATCTACTAAGGTTTTTCATTAAAATGGTCGGTATTTTTCCAGGGTAAGCCTTCAAGGCAGGGACTTCAGGTTGTGAGCATCAGGGGTGGCCAGTGAAGGATGACTGGCACGTTTTGGGTCGGTCAAACCCCTTCAGCAGCCTGCACCCGTTTCATTTGCATTCCCCTCCGAACTCCCGGTCCACCTAGCTTTCCTCTCCAGCCTGACCTGACTTTCCAACCCCTCAACCCGCAACCCCAAGCACCTAGCGACCATCTAAGTTTCCATCTTGAACCCCCATCCACCCTCAACCCTCAACCCTTCCGCGACCGAACATCGCCCACCACCAGGCTCGCTCACACCTGGCCGGAAACTTTGGGCGTCAACACCGCGCTGCCGCCTTGGCCTATTGGCTTCAGGCACTGCTACGGCTGCGCCCTGGCGCTATCACAAACCAGAAAACCAGTCGAACCATGCGAAAGCTCCGGGGAGTGTAATACAAAAAGGTTGATGTATGTTAATATCATATTTGCTTATTTGAATCCGAATCAGCATCACGTTATCATCATCATGAGGGGGAATAATGATTAATGGAGAATGGAGATCCTAAATATTAGAAATGAATAGAAATGACACATAACATTTTCACACAGATTTGTTGTCCATCTCTACCAATGGTGTCGCATTTTGGGCTGGTAACCCAACGACATCCAACGACTAACAAACAAAATCAAAAAAATATCTATATGTAATATGTACATATCGTATAGCCTATATTTCAGCTAGAGCATGAGCCAACTTCGGTTCATTGAGGGGTTTGAATTTCGGTGCATTTTCCAGAAATTCCCGAAGAAAAAATGCGTACCTTTCGGTCTGGCAATCGAAAAACCGCCATCTATACCATGTTTCTTCTCAACATACCCGATCCATTTGGAAGACATTTCCCCTTACCATGTGATTCCTGGAGGGTAATCATTGTTGGAAGGGCCATCATCGTCAACCAAAATCCGACCCGCAGTGGCTCATCAACAGCCAGATGTTGTCAGAACGGGAGGTTGAATTCACTAAGTTCCAGGAATCCGTGTTTTTTTCCAACAGATCTGAACATTCATTCCGAATGATCTCGATGGATAAGCACTTCTTGACAATATATATTGTGGTTCTGTTGGTGAAAAATCATTTGTATTCGCCCTGCTCATGCGTCTATGGTCTATGACGGCTGATCCGAATGCTGTCACAATCAATACTAATCTAATCAATGTGGGTGGTGAAAAATCATCCAACTGAGACCAGAGTTATTCAATGTGGTTGGCGACAATCATTTTGCCTCGATGTTTTTTCAGGGCGTTGGCAAAATCAACTGGATGCAGAGGGACATCTCTTTGTTGACTATTCACCTCGGGTGTTTTTGCCATTGATTGAGTTTCTACGCTTGGTTCGAGATTCGGAGCCTGACATGCCAGCACCAGTGGTGGTGGAGCCGGAGTATCGCCGCGTCGCCGGGCATGGATATGCATGGTCCTTGCCTTGTCCTTCATCCAAAGGTCCTCAGGAAGGCTGGTGTGAAGGCGGAAGAGCTTCGTGACATGGGATTCGATGCAAAGTAGCTCCGCAACATGACAGTGCTTCAGAACTGGAGGCTTTTTTTAGCCGTACACAACTAAATGTGAGTTGTTTTGGAGGTTCGGTGGATTTGCCTGATAACCCACTAGAAGTTACTCTTTGGCAGGGGATCAGGTAACCATCAAAAAACATAATTAGGTGATCTTAGGTGACATGACCGTTTCCTCAACAAATTTGTTTGGATTCGGATGCTTCGCATTTGCTTTGTTTTACTTCCTGTGTTTGCCCTTCCATGCAAGGAGCTTGCATGAGGGCCATTTTTCCGCCTCCGTCCCCGCCAGTTCCCTTGCCCCAGACAAACCTTTGGAATGTTTATTTCAAGTGGCATAATGCTTGAGATGTGTTTCGATTTTTCTTTCCGGAATTAACGTGTTGCTTGCTTTCCCTCCGGGAATTTCTTGCACAAAGGATGCTCATTGGTTTGTGTTGTTTTGTTGGGAGCACCCGGTCTTTTTCCTAGTGGACTGTGCAATTGTCGCGCCTTTTGTTTTGAACAGTAGTATCTGGAATAAGCGTCCGGCTGCGGCACGAAAACAAAGACTTCGAGTAGATCGTTGGTTGGATATTAGTGATGCGATGCACAGCTCCCTTGCAATATTTGCCCTTGACATATATCACTGAATTGATCTAAGTAATTCTAAATATGTCAATATATCATTTTATAATATTATTTTTGAATATGCCGATATGCAATGATACCCCCTATATTCATGTATTTTCGATATTGTTGTTCCAATCCTTTATGTTTGGACGGCGCATTGTGTTAGATCTCTCAATCCTGTTCCCCCGATCATACTACATTCGTTCACAGCCGAAACCGCATTGCCGTTGTTTCTAACCAAACATGTTGATCTTGCAGAGTGCAACTCCATAGTCATCACGTGTTCCCCTTGCCCCTTGTCAAGTCCAAGGCGATGCCACCTTCACAGCAAAAGAGCAGTGCACACCAACACGGTCTTCGGCAAAATTTCGACGACTGTGTTTTACCCAAGAAGGCACACGGCAGCAACGCCAGCCATTGTTGCAACAGCTTCAACAAGCAGGCTGTGAGTGCGAGATTGAACGCGCCGCCTGCCAACTTGAGCTGGAGGACGCATTCCCGCAAGAAGTCGAGGGCTCCTGGACGGAGAAAGATCTTGGATGAGAGCGAAAATCATTCGACCCTCCAGAGCCGAGGATTTGCCCGATTTGCCCTAGGATTGGAAGGGTCGAGGCAGTTACTAACACTTCCGGTGTCTATGTGCATGCAAACACATGTGCAAAGTTGATTGTGCGGCAGAAAAACTAACTCTGCTTGTTGCTGTCCGTTCTGAAACAAAGGGCGCCCCTGATCCTTGTTTATATAATTATATAATGGTATATAAGTAATTGGGTTATCTCATACTATGATCGACATTTTCTATCTTATCATTTTGTGTTGCGGTAACATGGCTATACCCTGCCAAGAAATGATTCGATTTTTAAGGGGTACCTGCATTTGACTTGAAGATTGGGGCCATGACAGCAAAAGCTTGTGAACTCTGAGCTGAAATGCTGTGACCTGCTGGTTGGTTCCTTTTTCATGTCTGTCTGTCAATGACTGTTTTACATGAGGGGAAACATGAAAAAAATCACAGGAAATCACCGCAATCCTTCGACATCTTTGGTTGGTTTGGAGAGTGCAGGCACACATTTGCCGCAATTTTTTTTGAACAGTGGGGGGGGAAGTTTACCAGAAAAGTTTGGAATCTTTTAAGTCACAGTTTTGGCTTCAAAGGTCCTCCCAAGATTTTGCACGGATAAATGACAATTACATATAATTACTTTGTTTTATTTTGTGGACAAATTCAGGATCTCAAAGCATTGGGTATGAAGGTCCCGAATTTCTAGGCCGCCAACTATAGTCATTGAATGTTATTGATTGGGACTTCTGGCATCGTAAGATCAAATGTTGGCACCATGTTTTCCAAGATTCTGTTGAAGATCCCTCTTGGGGTGTCCCAGAACATTCACGGTCAATTGTTCTAAGATGTTTGTCTGTTTGTTTGTTCAGAAAGGCATAACAACAATATAATTAACTATAACAATATTAGATATTACGCTCCAAACATTTCTGGATATAGCTTACTGCTTGGGATTCCATGGTCTGCATGGATGAGGTTTGAAGATGCCTTGCCAGCTGCATTCCAATGCTCGGCGTTGTGCGCGCAGCATCTGCAAAGCACTGCTGAGTGGTCCTTGTCGTTGGACCATCCGCGGCGGGCACGGATACTTCTGCAGCTAGGACACCTGGGGAAAACCGTTCAGCTTCGAATCATTTTGGGGTTGGGTTTCCTTGTCAAAATCATCGGATTCCGTCATCCAAGTAGTAGAATAGACTGGACTTTTGCAGACCATGATGGTTTGATGTTTTAAGAAACCAAGTTGATCCACGGCCACTTGGGGCAGAACCGGTACCGAATGTATTCCATGCGTTTGTGGGAAGGATAGGTTACCCCGCAAAACCATGGCACGCTGATGACAGAAATCTTTAGTTTTCAAGCAGGAACAGAACGGGAAAAACCGAGCCCAATATTGTATGATAGCCCTATCATGTCCACAGACTCAAAAATTAAACTCTACATTAATATATATATATATATATTATATTTATACCTAGAGCTTCTAAATCTCAAAATAGTTTGGTCGATGCTCTTTGTGCTACTTTTTCTGATCGACAGTCCAAGAAGTAGACGTTTGAGTCGTTTCAGATTGTTTTAAGCCAAAACCAGACGTTTCACAGAAAAGTAGGCGACCCCGCTATTGAAGGGCAAGATTTGCCCCCTTACCCACCTGCCATGTTGGTACCCTTTACCGCCTAGGCAAGTCTTGAGCAAAATCCACTTCAAGGTAAAACCATTGAAATTATGATGTAAATCCATATGCACTACAGCTTCAGTGTCAAATGTAGAAATTAAGCAGCAAGATTTTGCAGATGTGAATGTAGTCACGCTTTCTGCTCCTGCTAGGTTTCCCTGCCTGGGTCAAAATGGTTACGAATTTGGCTGAAGCTTATGGAAATATCATGTTTTGAAGCAAATCCTCTGGAATCGTAAAAAACCATGATTGACCTAGTTTTTGGGATTTGTAGCTGTTTGATGGTTTTTGAGGTCGTTTGCTGGGATTTTGAGGTCGTTTTGAAGAATTTTGTAGGCGCAAACTTTTGCCTTTTTGTTCATGAAAATCCATGAACATCATTGAAAATCTGTAGGTTTCATATTATTTACATCTCAAATCACGAATCAAGTTTCTAAGTCGCCAGTGGTCCCAGAAAATGGCTAGGACTTTGCCAATGGTTATCCCAATCTATCCATATCTGTCTATCCCATATTCTAAGATCATAGTAGTACTTAAGTGGTTATCCCAATCCAAGAGATGATCAATGGCTAATGAATCCAAAAGTATCCCCAAATCATCAAATTTAATCTCTCAACATTGGGATTCTGGACTCCAAGTGCTGAATGTCTCATATGGACCCATTTGGCCCATAACTGGTCGGTTTAAGAAAAATCAGTCAATGTGGTCAAGGACTACTTTTTTTGCCCGATATCTCAAGAAATGGTAAACAACATAGTCTACCAAAATATTCTTATACAATCGAAGATATAGGTAGTATGGATAAATGGATGACTAAGATCGCAGATAGCCATCCACGACTTGCTCCGCCAATGTCATTTCTTGCCCATCTCGGCATCCCTGGACAAAAGCCGCAGGAAACGCCTTCAAATTCCAAGCGCTGAAGGATTTTGCGAATTTGTACCATGAGATGAAGGCAGTTCATGGGAACATCCAAGAAGAATCTCGGTGATGGAACTCCCAACTTCTTCAAAACCTTGACAGTTGTGAGATTGTTTATGGAATTATGTATATATATATATATACATGTATATACACAAGAATATTTTTACATTGAGAGAGTCACTGACTGCTAAACATCTGGAAGGGCAAACCGTACAAAACAATATGAATTGTGGTGCAGGAAGGATGGCAGAAAATGGTGGCAAAGAATCGTATCTGGCAGCTGAGGCATTGAAGACCGACGCGGTGCCCAAGCGATTTTTGCCGCGGCTTCATGTTCAATATCAGAAGCTCGTTGCCGGGAACATGTCCTGGGCATATGATAAAGCTTAAATAAACCATCCCTCATCTTTCCATAGATGGATTTACATGGGTGGTAAGCAGTAAGCATCATAATTGACATAAATAAGATTACATAAATACTGTTTTTTTCGTGTAATTATTATTATATATGCACACGCATACGAATCTAAAGTAAAATACGACCATTCTGATTTAGAACCTTTCTATCTGAACTTGGGGGGTGTTATAAATACACTGAATCCTGCTTCAGGATCATGTTGGGTGAGCTCCATGGTGCGCTCCGGGTGGAACCGCTGCCCTGGAAACGCATTGCGGAGATCACGTCGGATATCCCGCGGGTGGAGATCCATTCGATTTGTGCCATGCAGCAGGGAGGGCAAGGTGGGAGATTAGGAAGACTTAGTGAATATATATATATATATATAGATCTGATTTTTACCATGTTATACCCCACCAAAAGTGTAGGAAAATCATAAAGTCCCAATTGCACAGCGATACCAAACATTCATTATCAGAATATAGACGACAAAATTTAAACGTGTAAGTCCTACCTTTGGTGTTGAAGATGGGCTCAGGGGATAGTTTGAGGTGCCCATAGCAGAATCTGCTGTGATGATCCCTGCGGGAAATGGCAGCGGTTATAGGTATCCTATCCAACTGGTTCCCACAAGATTGCTACGAATCAGGTGATTCTAGGACAAAGTAGTGCTGATTGATGTTTCTGCCCGAAAATTAAGGGGATGGCAAACACCTTCAGTGTACCGGATCAGGGAGGACTATGTACCTTTTCACATTAGGTCACTTTATATATTACATATATATACATATATATATATATATATAAGGATATTTTAAAAATAAGATAGTATGGCAGTATTCATTGTCAAGAAGCCCTGTCATAATATACAACAAGAATTGCAGAGCTGCCTCAAGATACACCCCATTTGGAAACTCAATGCGTTCACTTGCTTTGTTGCGTTTAGTTGGGTGGAAAGATTTCTGGAAGTCGGTGCGTGCTGCGTCCAGCTGGTGTTTTGGAAGGCACGGTTTGGAACATTGATATTTTACCTGCGTTCTTGTACCTTGGTTCTTGCCATGTCAGATTGTCTATTCACGTATTTGAATAAGATAGTTTTCTTCCAGAAATGCACATGAAGTCCAATATGTCCATGAAAGTTGTTCTCACACACATATGTTGATTGCTGCATTTAGTCACA